CAACCATACGAACAAACAACCATACAAACAAGCAACCATACGAACAAACAACCATACAAAGAAACTTAATTCATGATTTACATGTACTGAGAGATTTAAGGGAATCCTAAGAGAGTCGCATACCTGAGAGGTAGTACACTCGCCTCTCATGCACCTCTGGGGTCTTGGGTTTGATTCCTGAACTCGGCATCACGTGTAAGTAGAGTTCGTTTGGTTTCTCTCTTGATTCAAGGGTTTTCCTCCCTACCAAAAACATAACACCCTCAGTTCCAATTCGATCTGTAAGTTAGCCGTGCTCTAACTCTATCAACCCCGAGCTTGTTTCAGGGTTCAATTGTGAGTTAGCCGTGCTCTGACTTTAATCAGCCCAGAGGTTGTTCAAAAAAATTTGAAGTTTTAACATTTTCAAAGAAAAAGCTTAATGAATTCGACATATATTATATGTTATATTCGGTTTCGGTAAACTTACAAAAGTCATTCATCCTTAGGCTATTGCTTGCGATAGGCTTTCTTTTCTTAACGCCGAAAAATTACTTTTAATCAACTATCTCATATCTGTCCGTTCCTTGTTAAGCGTAGATTAACCATAGTTATCTCCTAAAGTATTTGACAGGAAAAGCGGGGGAAGGCTCCACAAATCTGTTTTGATTTGTGGATCTAACTGTGCGCGTGTGTGCGTAGCGTAACCCCTTAAGGACTGCAAGTAAGAGTTTTACGATTCGTGGGGTATAATGCAAATAATTTTGATTGGCAAGATGGAAATTTACTAATAGTAGTCTATAACTAAAGCGATAAGTCAGCACTGATCACTAACTAGATTCGCATTTTGAGGTCGCATTTTTTTGTTGTTGTTGTTTACGTGACGACATAACAAGAGAGAGCTCGTTGTTTGTCAATGAACGATCATGGCGCAAGCTGGCTTAATTTAGAATGACAAACCTCGTTTATTAGTAAAAGGAAATTACATATGAACTACCGACAAGGAAGTGGACGTTTGGTATCTGGTCGACAAGCAATTAAATGTTATATCTGCATCTTTTGCAACTTATTCTTTTTACGTCGACACATTACGCGGGAAAGGAACTGAAATTCGTACACCCGAGTCTATAGACTTGCCGCCTTGTCAGTCGAATTCTCTCAATTGATATCTATTCCTTTGTTTCGGCCCTTGGTGTCCAGTATCATCCAGATAAATTAATTTATCGGCTCGGCTGAAAAGAGATTTCTGACGTTTTTGTATCATCTTTGATTTGAAAGTCTGGCCGTGTGATCATTATTAGAGCTTTCTGGCGCGTCATCTACTCCCTCATTAAAACAAGTTAAAAATTAAAACATAAAAATGAGATTTAGTGATGGCATTGTGGTTTTCAAATGGATGTATTAGTTGATATTAGGATCAGTGCTATTAAAGCAACAACAACAACAACAACAACTTTATTGAGCCCAAAGAAAGTAAATTAAGTACAAAAATTATCTTATTTGGTATATTAGTTGATGAGAGCATAGACATTTAGAAATAGCTTTGGAAACTAATCGAGCTAAATGTCTGGGCCATGCGGAGTAAATTACAAGAAAAAGTAATGAGTTCAGTATTTTCATGGACAACTACAACACCGAGCACAAAACAAAATGGGTGGAAGCTGAATTATCAATATTAATAACATAATAGCATGGGTGACGTTCGCGGCTAACGCGTCGTCTTTCACCGCTGCGAGTCCAACGGGTCGGGTCGCTGGTTCGAGCCCTGCGGTCGCCACATGTGAATTGAGTTTGTTTGATGTGTTGTTCTCTCCTATGCTATGAGGGTTGTCTCCGGGTTTTCCGGTTTCCTCCCTCCGTAAAAATCAACATGTGAGCTGAGCGTTGTGTGCATAGAATATTAAATGTAGTGGTAGTGCGTGTGGAGGGAACCTCATGGAAGAGCCCCATATGGGGAGTGGTGGTTGTAAAATATTATCATTATTATTAATTATTAAATAATATTCTGTGTTCTCATCATCTGTATGGAGACAGAGTAAAATCATTAACGATATTTGGAAAGAATAAAGGTCTTAATTTTGTTTTTATTTATTTCTAATATTTTATAGCGGTAAATTTTCATTGATATTTTTTATTTTTGTTTCTCGTGGCTCGTGATTTTACTATGTGATACTACCATTGTGTGGTACTTTATTATAATAGGTCTCTTAGATAACGAGTTATGTGTGAATGCAAAGTTCATTCTGACTCATTCGACGTTATGCTAGCTACTTGGTTATTTCTTATCTATAGAATTTCCAGTTTTCATATATAAATTGATAAAATATTAAATAAAAACAGATTCAAAGGCATCTTTTGGCATAAGTTATTTGTTTCGTCGTGTTTGAACAGTAGGAAGAGTAAATCTTGTCATTTTTACGTAGGTTTTCAACATTAAGAGAAATTCAAAGCAGGGGGTATGAGGGTTGCACTTTAATCATCCTCCTACGCTTAGGATTCAAGTGAAGTCTAGTTTTATTTCTATAGCATTGAAATATGCACCAGATTAAATAACCTTTGATAAACGCCAACTGCAATGAGAGTGAATGAAATACTTTGATGATGGGAAAAGGACATATATTTGCAACACTAGGAGCGTCATAATATGAAAAGTTCTATTGTCTTTAACAGACCAGTATTGTAATCACTTCTGGCGTTTCCAAGGGTGATTTGAATTAAACCGCAAGCTAAAAAACTCCATTGCATTATATATTTTTAATTTTTTTAAAGCTAATGTTTAAAGATAAATATGCCTCGAAAGGTTGAACGCGCGAATGAAGATGATCCAAATGAAAAATCGAAATTGGAACAATTCAAATAACTAGTAAGACATTTGAAATAACATTTCAAAAGAAATTTTCTACGCCCTTAATATTTCTTTTTTCGCGAGTCGCCATCGAAATTTTAATAAATGACTGACTTGATATTGGGTGGATTGCGATCAACAGAGTTACATAACTTGTTGGAAAAATAAACGATTACAGTAAGCACTACAAAAGAGACTGTACCAGAAGACGCGCAGCTAAACAAACTATAAATTTGTATAGGAAATATTGTATCATTACATTGAGTATTATATAGAAATGCAAACCAGATTTACCTGTTTAAGCTTATGGCGACAAGAGTTCCCACTGATGCTGTGGTAGCCATTGTTTGAAGTGGGTAGATGAGTTTACACATCACTGCACCATAAGGCCAGTACTTGGTGATAATTTCACCAAAATCGAACGGGATGCAAATCAACAAGACTGAAAGATCTGCGACAGCTAAGTTCACTATAAAATAGTTGGTGATATTTTTCATTTTACGTTGGCGGCACACGACCAAGCAAACGAGGACATTTCCAATGACTCCGACGATAAATATAATGACATAGCAGACGAGTCGTGCATAGAAGAAGCCATCTGCAGCAGCTAAAGTGGCAGAATACGGGTCGTCAGAATCGGTAATATTTGCGGTCGTGTTGTTTGAGCTCATCTTGTTCAATCTTTGAAAAGAAGAAACGCCAGAACATAAGCAATATATATATAGTATATACCCTTGAAGCCTACTTAATTGAATTATCAAGGCACACTGTTTGCCTTTCCATTGGTCAGTTGTTTGTCTAATCGCCGTTATCTGGACAACAGTTTATTCTGCATTATCCTTTTCCTTCAAAACCTTAGCTACCGGGCCCGAGACTCAAAGACTACAATTTAAGCGTAGCCTCGAGAGAGCCGCCTAATCAAATTGTTGGATATCTTCAGTTCCAAGTAAAAATAAGTGTTTAGTATGACAATGAGAAACGGGATAACATATTTCAGTAGTTTACGCTCGCGCTCAGTAAAAACAGACAATCGAAAGGTTATATATCTGGACGTTGAAAAAATACTTATATTTAATGAACTATACAGTTAAGTGTTTTAATTGGTTAATGAGCACTGAATCATTGCACACTGTAAATCACTATGGATACAGATGATGTAAAATAGCATTTGTCACCAACATCATCGTGTAATCAATTATATTTCCTTGGGGAATTATTGCAAAAAATTAAATTCTGCAAAGCATTTTACCTCCCATATAGCAAAATATTGATGATATTGAAACCTTTTACAAAGCCAAAGGCAAGCCTTAGTATAGTTTAACTAAATAGTGAATATCTTATGGAATATCCTCCCAAAATGCAAACAAATTAGCGATTTAATAGTGATTGATTTAACTTCCCGGATTCCAATCAAGGTTGTACTTTACACTAATCCTGCAATAATAAGTGACTTTATATTGCCTCAGGATGATAAAACAAAAGAATTTCAATCTCAAGAGAATTGGAAACCTATTGTTATGTCCCTCCAAATTGAACTGCATTCAGACGTGCTGCAAGGGGTCTATTGATCATGTTCAAACGCGTCAAAAAACAAAAATTCAAAAATTCGAACCTCAAATCATCTATAATAAAAACTTCCTTTTCTTATGCTGTCATATTTCCTAAACAATGTAAAATAATTTACTCCGACGTCCGAAACGTCAGTAAGTATTTTCATCTTTTCACGGTGTATAATTTACCCTTTTATCATTACTGTAAAATAATTTACATTAACTATTCAAAATATCATCATCCGTCGTAAATCGTATCAGTAATCCTCTTGGATTTAAGGTGTAATCAAAAGTATACCAGTTCCTTCGGCTCTTGATCGATATTGCATCGTAAATATTAAAGAACTGATATTTACTTAAGTCCCCGCGATAAAAAAACTCGAGATAGTAGCAGATCTCAAAATGAGTATGAATCAAAGAGAAAGCAACTGCTATTAAATACCTGAATCAACAAGAAAGAGGACACACGAGTGACTAATATGAGAATTATTTGGGGTATGGGATCATTTGGGGTAGAGGTATTTGGACATATTTTCCGAAGCGTCCGGGGGATCGGAATAGAAAAATTTTGCTAATTGCTGAATGGATGAATAGCAAAGGTGGAGAAATCGTAAAACATATCTGACTTTGAGCCTGCTAAGAGTTTTATTGAGTTGTACACATACATATTTTAACGACTTACGAAATGTTATGGATGGCATACTGTGAAAAGTCTTCAAAATGAACTCAAATAAAATAATATATTGATGAGGTTCTTGGTGAGAACGATGGGATTGTTAATTGTGGCTGTATTTGATGCTCCCCAAGGCACATTTCGTTAGTGTAAACTCGTCTAATGTGAAGAAACAGTTCCTTAGCAACAGAAAAGAGAATGTCGCCCTCTAGCACCTGCTCAAAAGAGAATGAACAGCTTCTTTATATTCGTGCGATCATCTTCAAAAATCCTTAACTCTAACGATGTCAGTGTTACATCATTATCGCTAATACTATCCTAAAATTGTCATTTTTTTTATTGAAAAAAAAAGGGGGGGGGTCTTATTTTTTTAAACCCTGGGTATTAGTTGAGATAAAATCAAATATTTCCGCGGATATTACAAATACACACGCATGGAAATTTGGTTGTTTGCCATTTAAGGCTTGTACTGTACAGAACATTTCGGCTCCGCAGGCAACTCTTGGCGGCAAACTGAATCCTAGCTTACAGAAATTGATCGCCACATATACTCGTACTTTTAGTTTATATATCTTATAAGAGTGTTTTAATTTTTTATCGGTTTGAGTTCTCAATTTAAAGTGAAAATTACAACAACTCTTCGGCCTATCTCATTAGTCTCTTAGAACCCAGCAACTGTCGATTGCGTGCTATTCTTTCCTTGCCTCGACGTTTTATTTCGTTTGAATTTATCGATTTCACCGAAGGTTGTTTTTCCAGGCCTTTCGAAACAAAAAGTACTTTCATTGAGCTGTAAGAAATATTTGTCCAGAAGACGAATACTGGCTTTACGTACTTATGTAAAGAAAGTCTTAATTCCAACAAAACTAACGAGTGTTTTCGATTCTACCTCTATAAATGTTTTTGCAGGTGTCAATTGGTAACGCTTTTGCTGTTTTGAGAAATTAAAATATCTCATGAGCTATACTTTTAACCGTTTTCATATGCTATCATGTAACTAGTCGTTTTTGCTGTTTTGAGAAATCAAAATATCTGCGACTATACTCTTAACCGTTTTCATATGCTATCATGTAACTAGTCGTTTTTGCTATTTTGAGAAATTAAAATATCTGCGATATACTTTTAACTGTTTTCATGTGCTACTCGTTTTTGCTCGTTTTTGTTCTCAAAAATCAAAATATATAATGCGTTATATTTTTAACTCGTCATTCATCTTGGGCAGAATCAACTGAGGCTCTGATTGTAGTGAAACTTCTAATATAATGTTGATTAAAAGTATTTTACATGATAATCAGAGCCAAACAATCTGGTTATTGCGCTTCCTTTTTTTTAGGATGTGGTATTGATGCGATTGACCTTTATTTCAACTTATTTTTATCCAAAAGAAGTTTGAATTCATTATGCAATTTATTGAAAGTGAGCGATCTTGACTGGAATCCTTTTTTAAAWTTTTTTTTACCTTATTTCTGTTGTTCCAGATCACGGACTACCAATGATTCAGCGTTGGATTCTAAGGCATCAGCATCTCTTCTATTGCCCTAGTACTTGAACCAGCTGCCAAAGGGGAAAAAGAAAACTAAAGGTAAACATTGGAATATTGCTCCACACTTTTGTAGGTTTGTGTTCTTAACTCTTACAAATCGAATAATTACGAATAGAATTTTTGATTGCTCTTGAAGGTGTGAATTGAGACAAAACCAACGAATTGCAAACCACGACTCCAGTAAATCCTATAGTCCCTTGGACAATGCACGTTTAGATGTGTTAATTGATTTACCCTAAATGAACTTATACGCTTAATTTAGTCGATTGTGAAGTAAGCTTTTCTGTACATTGCAAGGCTTTGTTCTGGAAGCCGTTTATTTCCTTCTTTGGCCTATGTGTCAGAAGGTGTCAGAGATAATTATGGTTATGAAGTGCGGAAAACTAACCCAACCAAAACATCTTCAGTAAATCTGTATAAAGGCAAGTCAGTAAGAGGGATTAAATTGTGGCTTATAATATCTTCATCCGTCAGCTTTGCTACCTCGAAACACCAATGTTTGGTTAACGCCTTAGCAACTAAAATATACAATGCTCAACTGAGTGTATACCATTCGATGAATGAATTGACACACATCTTGCATTGTGTTATAAGGCTTATTTTCACGAGGCCCGCATTGGTAAAACACAATTAAACTCTTGTGTTCGAGCTCTCGAGGGTCTTAGCTTCGATGTTAGTGTTATTCTAATCTGGCTCAAGTAGGTTTATTAGAACCTAAAGTTAGATCGAATTTACATGAGAGACGTACGAGGATCCCATTGAATGAAAGGAATAACCGACTCGCATCATTAGTATATTTACTAAAAACCTACTAAAATATTTAAGACGTTTTTGTAGAATTAGATTCGTCAAGGAAAAAGAGGAGATAAAAAGACTAACTTAAAAGAAAGCGCACTTCGTAGAACTAATGAAATAAGATATTGCAAAATGAAATGGAAAAAATCGGTAATGTCTCTGTGATTTTGAGCGCTGATCGCATCAAAAGCAGCAATCCCTAAATCCGTACGATATTACGTTTTCCCAATTGTTCTTTCGGTTGTATCACCAATGACCCTGAATTTCACAATTTATTTTTAGATACTAGAGACTTTAAGATTCTCGTTTACGGCAAACGTGAAACGTCAGTTGACCATTAACAAATTCTTTAAAATTAGTGAAAAGGAATCGCATAATATCTTTAAGTAGTAGATAAACAAAAGAATACTTGTCTTTGTCGAGAAGGTTTGCAAAAGGTAAAGTGAAATACAGGGAAACGATGAAAACGTGGTCACGTTTGCCGTTTGCGGGAAGGAAAGACGGGAATCTTAATCTGCCTACTATGGTCCTTGATCACGCGGTAGCCATGCTTCTTCTCATGACAATCAAAACCTTTGTTTCACCCCGCATAATTTTATTTTCAAGTACTTGAATGCGAGGCCACGCGTGGTGGAATCGTCGCGGCTATTGTTCAAACCAACATGGCTGCCACGTGAAAAAGCCCCATGCCTGATCTCAGGAGCTTATTACGATTTTTGATTGCCAGTTTACATAGAAAGCTTTTGGGATCAGTTTACGTCTTTTCTCACTGATTCGAAGCTGATCTTTTCCAATTAAATCAAATCAAAAACTCTATTTAAGGTGTTCTTATATATTTTTCGTGAAAATCGGTCGCGTGAATAGTTACCATAGCAGCGCTACGTCAGCCACAAAACAGGCCCTTTCTGCCATTAAAAAATTAAAATCTCGAGTTTCCCGTTGTCAATCTTTTTTAGATTGTGTAATGCGAAAGTTTGTTTTGTTACCTATTATATGACAGCGTTTTATTAAAATCGTGACTACAGAAACCAAGATATTAAAGAAATATAGATTGTTTTAAGATAAAAAGTTTTCTGTAGTCCAATTTCTTTTTATATTGCGTCAGTTGCCTGATTATTCT